TTCAGTGTTTGGGTTAATTGTGTTTTGTTTTATTGTGTGAGTTCTTCATACACTTTGTGAGTTAACCCTTTATCAAATGTGTGTTGTGCAAAATCTTCTCCCATTTGGTAGGTTATCTTTTTGTTTTAGAATATTTTCCTTCACTACACAGCAATTTTTAGTGTAATGTAGTCTCATTTAATGTTTTGGTTTGTTTTGTTGTTTTCCTTTACACTGTATTCTGATGCCCAGAGTCATCCCTGAAAACATGTCATGGAAGATTTTGCCAGTTTTATTATATTTTATAGTTTCTGAGCATATGTCCAAGCCTTATATCATTTTAAAAAAACAATTATATGTATTTTATATCATTGTTTGTGTTTGTACAATGCTTGAAGGTGTAATCACTGTAGAATTCCCACCATCAATTTTCCCATGTACTGTCACCATAGTCCCTTGTGCTCTTCCCTCCACTCTTTTGACCCCACCCCACTCCTACAGAATATCTTTGATATTTAGTTGCCTGTTAATTTGTTGTTGTTATTTTTTACCCTTGACCCCTTGTTTGGTTCCCCTATATTCCTTCTGTAAATGAAATCTACAATATTTTTGTTTTTCCTTCTGACATTTTACTGAACAGGATCCCTTCCAGTCCCATCCATGTTGCTGTGAATAATATCTTTATTTTATTTTACTTTATATAATTTTTACATTATTATTCAGTTTTGTACAAGGTATGCTTTCTCATCTTGGTTATAGTCCCTGTGAAATTCCCACCACCAGTTTATCCATGTGACATCATTACCATAGCTCCTGCCACTACTGTTTTGATACAAATCCCCACTCCTTCCACCCGCAGAATGTCTCTGGTTTATAGTTGCATGTTGATTTTTGTTTTTACTTTCTTATAATTACTTGTTATTTTTTCCTGATCTATTACTTGGATCCTCTACATTCTTCCTTAAAGTAAAACCGTGCAGTATTTTTCTTTTTCTTTCTGGCTTATTTCACTGAGTATCATCCCTTCCAGCACCAGCCATATTGCTGTGAATGGCATGGATTTTTCTCTTTTTGATCTCTCAGTCATATTCAATTGTGTATATGCACCACATCTTCTTGATCCAGTCATTTATTTTTGGGCATTTGGGTTGCTTCCATAGTTTACCTATTGTAAATAGTGCTTCAATAAACACAGGAGTGCATGTATCCCTTTGAATTAAAGTTTTTGTGTCCTTTGGGTAGATTTCTAGGAGTGGAATTGGTAGGTGATATAGTAGCTTCAGTTTTTAGTAATTTGAGGTACCTCCACACAGTGGTGGTTGTACCTGTTTGCTTTACCACCCAAAGTGTACGAGAATTCCTTTTCCTCCACATCCTCACCAACATTTCTTGTTGCCTACTTTATTAATGTATACCATTCTTACTGGTGTAAAGTGTTTTTCCATTGTGGTTTTGATTTGCATTTCCCTGATTATGTGATGTTGAACAATTTTTCATATACCTGTTGGCCATTAGTATTTATTTCTTCTTTTGAGAAGTGTCTATTTAGTTCTTCTGCCCATTTTTTTTTTGGACTGGATTGTTCACTTTGTTTTTGTTGATTCAAGTGAGAACTTTGCATATGTTGTGATCAGTCCCTTGTCTGTTGTATGGAGTGCAAAGATTTTCCCCAGTCAGTAGGGTGTCTCTTTGTTTTGGCTAATGTCTCTTTTGTTATACAGAAGTTTTTATTTTTCCCCCTCACCATTTAGTATGTTAGTTGTGGCCTTTACTATGTGTGAGTATTTTCTTTCTATCCTTATTTTACTTAGTATTTTTTAGTCATAAATATATGTTGGATCTTTTGATAAGCATTCTCAGCATTTATTCAGATGATTATATGATTTTTAGCATTACTTTTGTTGGCACAGTAGATAGCATTATTTGATTTGTATATGTTGAACAGTCCCTGCTTACCTGGAATAAATCCAACTTGGTCATCATGTATCACTTTCAATGCATCAAATATTAGAATTGGTTTGCACATATTTTTTTGAGGATTTTTGCATCTGTGTTCACCAGGGATGATACTGTCAGTATTTATTTATAAGTTACTAAGTAATTACATGTGCACACACCCATATATGTATTGAGAGAGAGACAGACAAATGGATAATAGATATAGACATATCTATTTGTGTATAAATATCATGTATCATGGTATTGTTGCGCTCATAAAATAATTGTAAAAATATTCCTTCTTCAATTATTTCTGGAAGATACTGAGAAATTGTCTTTGAAAGTTTTGTAGAACTCACTTGTGAAATCATGTGGCTCTGGGCTTTTATATTTTGGGGAGACTTTTGGTTAATTTTTTTTAATGATTTATTTATTCATACAGAATTGGGGTACAAGCCCAGAGATGTGGAGGGTGAGAGGATTCACCAGAGACAGAGTGGGGAGCAGTACAGGCAGATTGACGAAGTACACTGCGGGGGGGGGGTGCAGCGGGCCGGTCAGGAGAGGTCTGCGGCGCCGTGTGGTCACCTCTGGGGCAGGCGGGGATCGAACTCATGTGGAAGTGGCTTTAGCTTCTTAGTGCAGTGCTTTAACCCACTGCGCCACCAGGGAGGGCCTGGTTAATTTTTTTTAAGATTTATTTTATTTATGCATACTGATGGGGTACAGGTCAGAGGCAGGCTGGTGAGAGCAGCAGGAGAGACAGGAGAGGTCTGCTGTGTCATGTGGGTCACCTCTGGGGCCAGGGATCAAACTTGCACTGAAGTGGCTCCAGCCAGCTTTCAGTGCTCCGTCCTAACCCATTGAGCTGCCAGGAAAGGCTCTGATTAATATTTTTATGTACTTGCTTGCAATTTAATTGGTCCATTCACATTTTTTTTTTCTAATTCAGCTTTGTTTTGGAGGCTGTATGTTTCCAAGAATTTGTCCATTTCTTCCCAGTTTGTCTGTATAAGGATGTCCATTGTAGTAGTCTTATGATCCTCTGCATTTGTGTGGAATCTTTTGTGTTTTTCATTTTTAGTTTGTTTTTTAGAGTTTTCTTGTATTTATGTTTGTTAGCCTTGCTAAAGATTTTGTTGTTGATTTGTTCATAGAACTGGCTTTTGGTCTTGGTGATCTTTTGAACTGTCTTTTAGACTTCTAATTCATTTATTTCTGTTCTATTTTTTTAATTCCTTTCTTTTTTTGGAATTTGGTTTTGTGTGTTCCTTTTTTAGTTTTTTTAAGATATAATTTGAGATTGTTTTTATTTGCACTCTTATCTGTAGTGCTATATACTTTCCTTTTAGTAACACTTTTCTTTTGTCCTGAGGGTTTTGGTATGCTGCATCTTCAATTTCATTAATCTCCAGCTACTTTTTAACTTCTTTGATTTCCTCATTAATCTAATATCTATTCCATTGTATGTTTTATAGTGTCCACATATTTAAGGCTTTTTCATGCTTTCTTGTTTTGATTAATTTCTAGTGTGATACAATTGTGATCAGAAAAGATACTTGATATGATTTAAGTCTTGAATTTGTTGACACTTATTGCTGTGATTCAACATGTGGTCTCTATTGGAGAATGTTGCTGTGTACTTTAAAAGAATGCGTGCTAGTTTTTGGGTGTAGGAGTGCCTTACATGTCTATTAAGCCCATGTGTTCTAAATCTTCATTAGGGCTGCAGATTCCTTACTAATTTGCTATCTGATTGATCTATTCATTGATTTAATTGGGGTGTTGATGTCCCATATGTGTTGCTATCAGTGTCTGTTTTTAGGTTTGTTAATAGTTTTGTTGGTCCTTTGGTGCAAATGCCCTGATGAGAATTGTATCTTCTTCTCATGTTTTGATCCCTTAATCATTATATAATATCCATCCCTTTCTCTTATTACCATTTTTATCCTGAAGTCCATTTCATATGGTAAAGTATGGCTTCCATGCTCTTTTGGTAGCGGGTGGTTCTCCTTCCACACCTCGCGTTGAACATTCATAGTGATTTCATGTATGACCACCACCTCCAGCTTCAGGGGGTGTGTAGATGTGGTTCTAGGGATATGTGCCCCCAAAAGACAGCTCTTTCTTTGCTTATACACTCTGGCATGGCCCCTGGAAGCAGGTGCGATGACACCATCTGCAATGATGGCCGTGTACTCTTCTGCTGTATGTTGAAGCCTCTTCCCTCTGTAAACTCCATAATTTTGCGATAGAATGTCTTTGGATACCCACCTTCCATAATGTCTATGTGTATATAATTTGTCCTTTACTGACAGTTTGATAAGAGATGTTTGGGATGGTAACTTACTACTTCATGTTTTCTGGGCATGTCTTGTATTGTATATCTTTAATATGTGACAGGAAGAAGGAAGAAGTAATGAGGGTGTTGCTGTATGGTTTTAAAATATGTTTCACAGTTATGCTCAACCAAGTTATTTATGTGGAAAGTTTCTTATGGGATTTCTGTTTATTTGAATAATACAAATTTTTTTATTAAATATGATAAACTGTGTTAATTTGATGTGGACGGTTCTTCCATGAATTTTGTTAGTAGTAGTTCACCACCAGTCACCTTTCAGTCATCCCATTAAATTGTGGGACTAGCTTGATTTACTTACCTTTTCATAGATGATGCTGTATTTCCAGTGATTACCGACCTCTCCTCGTCTTATCACATCCCACCTCACTGTAGTGTTGCAGCATTGTCCTCTTCCTCCACAGTGTCACCAGTGTCTGTACAGTACTCTGGGCGTAAGATGCTAACTTCTATGTCTTCCTTAAATCTCTGAGTGCTGAGGGTGCCACTTTGACTGGAGTACTGTGAGGTCTACATTTGCCTTGTTCTTTCTGTTTGGTCATTTTTTATGCGCTTCCTGGAATTGCTTACTCGTTCACAACCAAGGTAGATGCCCCAACTTCTCTAGACAGCTTTCTGTGTATCTTATGGCCAGTGAATTGAAACTGTTTTCTTTTATTCTCATGAGTAGAGAACATAGAACCCTAGGATACTTCATTCACACTCAGGCTCTTTCTGGTTCCAGGTGATTGCTGGTCTCTATGACAGAGCCTTTCATTATCTTTCTGAAGCTGTGCGGATGGCTGAGGATGAGACCCAGCCTTGCATCCGGGGTCAGGGGCCTACAGCCAGAGTGATAGATGCTTACATGACATTGGTTGATTTCTGTGATCAGCAGCTCCGCAAGGAAGAAGACAGTGGATCAGGTGAACCAAAGAGCGATCTAGTGTGTTATGTTAAGTTAGCATAAACTCTTAAGAACTTTATAGATAGTTTTAGTTGGTATTATTTTAATGTTTAAAATGTTAGAAATGCTGTGTTTTTATTTAAGCAACTATTAAAATATGTGGTTTTGGGAATTTTATTTATTCTTATTTTCTTTCATTGTCATTCATTTTTGCACAGTATTTCATTTCTTCCATCAGGGGTTTGTTTGGTTTTAGATGACATTCTGAGAAAAGTCTGTTCTTTATATAAGAAGCAGTGATACTCCAGACAACACGAGGAACATGATGTCCAGCTGAGGGGAATTTTGCACTTTCTTAACCTATCCTTCTGTTTTTGCACTTGCTTAACCTATTCCTTCATATTTTGCTCATAGCTTTGGTATTATTGATTTATGTGGCCTGCCTCTGTTCCTGGGATAAATTCAGTGACCAGTAATTGTCCTTTAAGTTTTCAGTCCAGGAAGAAAACTATGATTGTGTAGAACTGGTAATCTAAAGGAAGAGTGAGTTTAGCTTTAACATAGAAACCAAAGTAAGTTACAAAATTATCTGGATTTTTGTTGTTGGTGTTGCTCTAAAGTAGTTTTTAAAAAGAGACAATGACATACTATTAAGTAGAAGTCAATGATAAAAACAATTGTTATTAAATTTGTAGTATTTGTATAAATAGATATATTGGTCTTTGATTTCATCCTTTCTGTCCTTGGTAGTTACTGACTCTGTAGAACTGCAGATATATCCAGCTCTTGTGGTAGAGAAAATGTTGAAAGCTTTAAAATTCCATTCCAATGAAGCCAGACTCAAGTTTCCCAGACTACTGCAGATTATAGAACAGTATCCAGAGGAGACCCTGAGCCTAATGACAAAAGAGGTAAGTATCTTTACTCTAGTGAAAAGTAACTTTACAGAAACTAAAGATACATTCTGACATATAGCAAATACATTAGTTTATACATTATATTTATTAAAGCTCTTCCTAACCAGTGTTGACTTTTGCTATTCTAAGAATCTATGTAAATAAAATTTTTAAAAGTATTTTCATATTCACCCATATTTCTTTGTAGGTGTTAGTAAGAATGCTGTGTCTGAACAAAGACCATATGAAAAAGAGGAGATGTCTTTGAGAAAATGGTAGGGTTTGTTGTAGCATAGTTGCTACACAATAAACCCAGTTCTGTGGTCTGTAATGCCTTTGACAACTTATTATAGCCCAGAAGGAGTAGATCCCACCCTTTAGTTGGGATCCCATCCCCAAAATTGTAGTGCCTGCTGGGTGTGTAGTGACCAGGAATCGTCAGCCTTTAAATACAGCGAGCAGTTACTGTGCATGTTGTGGGATTCACAGTCCCACATGACCTGCTCCCCACTTTGTGTGTTCCTCATTGGCTACATTCCATACCAGGCCCCGCCAACCCTCCTGTCTTTTGGGCTGTGGCTATAAGAACTGGAGTGCCATTTTAAAGGCTCCTTAGTGACTCCTGCAGATGTTTAACGAGAACATAAGACATACTTTGAGTTGGTTAGTGGAAGAGCTCAAAATTGTTGCCATAAGTTGTTACAGTGCTGGTCTCTAAGATGAGAAGACTATCAGGATTTTATACTGTCCTATTACACTGTTGTGTATTTGGGATTGTGGGGCTTCTTAAGTATGTCTTAAACAAGAGTTTACAGTAAATTAAGTCAAATAAATTATATTCAACAAATAAATGTTTTTCTTAAAAACATTTCTTAAAAAAACAGTTGTTAGGATTTTAGTTTTTTCCAAAGTAATTATTTATATGTAATACAAATAGTATATAGAGTTTGGAAATAAATGAGGTAAGTTGATGTTTTTATGACACCTGGGAGTTACTTAAGGTGAGGCAGTGAAGCATTATTGAGTCCTCCCTTTGACTCAGTGGCTGCATCTTTTACCCTCATAGGCCTTGCTCTTTGCCCTTATTTTATAGATATACACACCTTCCCTCCTTATACCATCAATCCCAAGGGCATCACATTTTATGTTTAGCATCTTAAAAAACATTAGAGGCAAACGTGAGCAAATTTTGAAAATGGTCTTGGAGTAAAGAGACAAAAACCAAAACATTAAGGGAAGATAATTTAATTTTACTTTGCAGGGGAAAAAAATACCATGCACATTGTTCAGAAAACTTGGAGAAAATTATTTGTTTTTTTTTTTTAAAAAATTTAATTAATTATTCATACAGAACTGGGGTACAGGCCAGAGGCTCAGGGGCGGTGAGAGGCTTCACCAGAGACAGAGTGGGGAGCAGAACAGGCAGATCGACGAAGTACACTGCTGAGGGGAGCAGCGGGCGGGTCAGGAGAGGTCTGGCTCGCCATGTGGTCTCCTCTGGGGCAGGCGGCAGGCGGGAATCGAACTCATACGGAAGTGGCTTCAGATTCTCAGTGCTGTGCTTTAACCCGCTGCGCCACCAGGGAGGGCCGGAGAAAATTATTTGTAATCATTTTTAAAGACAGAAATAATATCTGCACTCTACGAAATCAACTAAATGGACAGAATGCACATACAGTAGAATAGGGAAGGCAAATAAACAGACTATTTACCTTACTAATAATGAAGCACAAAATAAAATATTTTTTACTTTTTAAATAGTGGATTTAAAAATTGATTCATCTTTATTGTTGGAAAGAATTTGGAGATTAGTCAGTCTCCAATACACCTTTAATACACTTTTAAAAGTGAAGATTTGGAAAATCTACCTTTAGGGAAATCTAGCAAATTTCTTAATAATTATTAATGTCCACACAATAATTTTTCTTCTAGGAAATTATCGCTATGGGGTTCAGCTATAAAGAGGTAATGTAGAGGGATGTCTGTAGCATTATCTGTAATTGTAAAAATTGGGAAGTACCCTAAAATTAATTATAGAGCAGTAGTTAAATAAAATACAACTCTATAAAGCTGAAAAGTAGAATAAGATCATTCTATTTCTTCCATCTAAGAAAAGCCAGCAACAGTAGTCTAATCTTGTTCCATATTTGTAAAGAAAGGAAATGTGTGCATAGGCATAGAAAATATCTGTAAGAATCACATTGTTGCTGCAGTAGAATAGGAATTGAGAAGTCCATGGGAAAGAATGCTCGCTGTTTTACACTTTGTTTTTTTTAAATACTTCTGATTGCGTATGTGTATATTATATGTGTGTGTGTATATACGTATATATATTTGATTATAAACATAATACTTATTACTACGGACACTTATTACTGTCGTAAGAAAAGCAGTGTTAAATATTATATTCATGATTAAGTTGTAGCTCTTTTTATTTCAGATTTCTACCATTCCTTGCTGGCAATTTATTGGTTGGATCAGCCACATGGTGGCTTTACTGGACAAAGAGGAAGCTGTTGCCGTCCAGCACACTGTGGAAGAGATTGTTGATAACTATCCACAAGCAATTGTCTACCCATTTATTATTAGCAGTGAAAGCTTTTCCTTCAGAGATACTTCTGCTGGGCATAAGAATAAAGCTTTTGTGGAAAGGTAGTATTACAGAAAAATAGGTTGATCAAAATGTTACTTAGATTGTGTCTGGTAAAAAGCAAAAACAAAGAAGTTTATATTTGTCTTCATTAATTAAAATTTTCATTGAAACTATCAATAGACATGTGTTTATATCTTCCCAGTTATATTATTTGTTCTGGCATTTCTTGCCATTTTTAAATACATTATCGTAGAATGGTATTCAGACTGTTGCACCCTATGCTCAGGAAGTATTTTGTTGGTTGAGACTGGTGAGATGCATTTTGAAATTAGTTCCTTGAATTTATTTAATTTGAAACATCTTGGAAGACCCTCTTGCTAATTAGAAGTGTCACTCTTTTTACATCTGCAGCTGAGTTTTAATGGGAACAGTTGACATTGCTAGCATTGGTGTATTCCTTTTGCCAAGAATACTTTGTAAATGCATGATGTTTAAGTTGACTTTTTTTTTTTTTTTGGGTCATGAGCTGATTTGCCTCATTATTGAGTGTTTTTTTTTTTCTTTTTTTCTGCGATGACAAGGAAGAATAAAGCCCAGCTTTTGTCTTAGCTTGTTGATGGTTGTCCATGCACATACTGTTTGTCTACTCTGTATTTCTCAGCAGTTAACTGCAACATAATCCAGTTTTTCCTGCTATTTGCAACAACATTCATGAAACTGAATGGAGAAAAGGCTTGGTGAAATAAGGGAGAAAGACCAAATTTTGGGTGATTTCACTTATATATAGAACATAGAAAAACAAAACAAAAGAGCTAACAAAATCAAACCCAAACAAAGTACAAATTACTCCAGAATTGAAACTGCTAGAGTGGGAGGGGAGATGAAGGGAGAAAACAAAGTGGGGAGAGGGTGCATGGTATATGATACAGGGATATGGGTGTTTGGGCTGGGTAGGGTGTGATGCTCACCTGAGCGGGTATAAATCTATTCCTCTAAATAGTATGCAGGGATGTAAACCAATGTCAATAATGTTAATAAATAAATGAAAGAAAAGGAAAACAGCTAGAAAGCATGTTGAAAAGGTAAGAAAGTGGCCTTTCCTTTTAAAATATAACTATAAAATTATGTCAGATTGTATATTTCAAAACCTACAGATCATTTGCAACAAAATTTGCTTTTATCTAAGAATCTTATCTCAATAGAATATGCACTTGGTGCTTCATGTCATATTGAATAGCATTTTTAATTGCTGGGCCTCCCTGGTGGTGCAGGGGTTAATGTCTCAGCACTATGAAGCCACAGCAGCCTGAGTTTGATCCCCAGCCAGGGAGCTAACCCACATGGTGCAGCAGACCTCTCTTGTCTCACCTACTGCTCCACTCAGCAGTGTGTTTCAAATATTCCTGTTCTGCTTCCTACTCTGTCTCTGGTGAGTCCTTTTACTCTCCAGTACCTCTAGCCTATACCTCACTTCTTGAGTGCATAATTAAATAAAAGTAAATCTTTAAAAAGAATTTTTAAATTGCTTTTTCTGAGGCTATATAATTGGTTACATATAGCTAGCTATGTGTCCACCTGCATGCATATGTGTGTATTTTATATGTGTATATATACATATATATTAATACACATTTATATAAATGATTTTTTAAAGAGGTTTGATGATCTAAGTTTGAAAATTTTTCCATAGGATTAGAATTAAGCTGGATCGAGGAGGAGCAGTTCAAGATTTTATTAATGCCCTAGAACAACTCTCTAACCCCGAAATGCTTTTTAAGGTAATACAATAACTATTAGCACATGAAATGTACAACTTGGATAAAACCTAATTGCTTCTAATTTTCTGTTTCTACACCTCTTCCCACACAGGACTGGGCTCAGGATATCAAAGTTGAACTATCAAAAACTCCTTTAAATATAAAAAACATTCAAAATATGTATGAAAGAATGTATTCAGCCTTGGGAGACCCAAGGGCTCCAGGCCTTGGGACTTTTAGAAAGAAGTTTATTCAGGTATGGGCAAAAGCAGCTTTCCTAATGAGAATGAAATAATTATGAAAATTAATATTGACATTTATTGCTTTTTAAATAGATTTTTAAAATTGTCTGCACTGCAGTATCTGATGCTATCTGTGAGACAGTGATATCATATTTTTAGGTGAGATAGTGGCAAGTTGAGGCAGTAGGTTAAATATGGAGTTTATTAAGTTATGTTCTTCATTCTCACATTCTTAGATGAAGGATTTGTATAGATTGTACTTTGTTAATCCTAAGAGTGATTTGAATATTAGGTCAAATGTGTATTTGTATGTGATATATGTTGGCAAGTATTTTTGAGTATTTGTTTCTGTTAAAACACACTCCCTGGCCCTCCCTGGTGGTGCAGCAGGTTAAAGCACAGCACTAAGAAGCTTAAGTCACTTCCGCATGAGTTCTATCCCCACCTGCCCTGGAGGAGATCCACATGGCGTGGCAGACCTCTCCTGACCCGCCTGCTGCTCCCCTCAGCAGTGTACTTCGTTGATCTGCCTGTTCTGCTCCCCACTCTGTCTCTGGTGAATCCTCTCACCCTCTGCATCTCTGGCCTGTACCCCAGTTCTGTATGAATAAATAAATAAATCTTAAAATAAAAAAAAAAAGACACTCCCTGGTGCTATAAGAGATAGCAAGAGAAAGTGGATCCAGTTAATTCAAAGGGATTATCTGACAAATAATTTCATCTGAAGAACATGGTGAATATGACATGTATTTTTTGCTCTGAAGTTGAAGCAAGTGGTGATGAAAATGAACCTTGAAATGTTCAGATTTACACCACCATGCCTTGTGCTCGTTGTTCCCTGTAAGTGGGTTTTACCTCCTCTTCCTTTTCCGTCTGGAGAACTCACCCTTACCAACATGTTTTATGCATCATTTTTTCTTTAGATACCTGGTACCACCGCCTCCTCACTTTCCCCAAGCAGAATTAGGTAGTGCTTCCTTTTGTTTGCCTAGTGCACCTTACTTCACTGATTCTCTCTTAATGTTTATCTCACTGATTATCTTTTCCAATTTTGGTGAAACTACCTTTGTTCAGTTTAAGCATAAAAAGTTTAAGCATAAAGGGTCTCCTGTTACTTGTTGCCAGAAATCTCAGGCTGTGCAGTCTCTAGTGCAATGAAGATCTTTGTTCATTTTAATTGTTCTTTTAATAATTACATTAAGATAGACTACACATATTCTATAACCTAGCCATTTGAAGTAAAATGCCATAATTTTTATTATATTTAGAGTTGTACACAAGTACATAAACTTCTTAACATTTGTCACTCCGGAAAGAAGCCCTTTCCTTGTTCCCTCCTCCTACCAGCCCCAGACAACCACTAAACTACCTTCCATAGCTATGGACTTGCTTGTTCTGAATATTTCATGTTAATGGAATCACACAGTGTATAATCTGTTTCCTTTCCCTTGGCGTATGTTTTCAGAGTTTGTCTGCACCCATGTTGTAACATTTGCTAGTACCTCACTTCTTTTTACTGCTGATAATTGTATATGTGTGCCACATTTTGTTTATCCTTCATCAGCTGATAGATGTTTGGGTGTCTCCACTTCTTAGCTGTTATGAATAGTGCTACCACAAACATCTGCCTATAAGTTCTGGGGAATTCCTTAGGAGTGGAAACCCATATTTATCTTTCACTCTTAACTTATGCCTCCTGAGTTAGGCTTGCATGCTGGGGTTTTGTCTTGTTCATCTTTTCTCTTCAGTTCCTAGTGTACTGATGCCATGAAACAAAGGTAATTAGATGAATGAATGGTATAGTTTTGATAAGTAGCCATAGATATTGATGGGTCATTCTTATTCAGATAGTTTTAATTATAGAAACAGGACTAAATGTGAGTAGGGCGCTATCTTAAAAGTGAACATAAAAGCATAAACCTCTGTACTTCTTTTTATAACACATATTATTCTCCACATCACATCAAACCTCTTTCACAGTAGTGCTGCACATTTAATATGCAAAGGTTTCTGAAAAGTATATGCATGTTATAAATATATTTGAACCTAATTTACCAGCATTATTGAACCTTTAGAAAATTATAAATTTTTAAACATTAGAGTGTATATTCTTTTACCTAAGCTAGTGATCCACACACTTCTTCTGTAAACGTCCCGATTTCCAGCTTGTAGGTCCTTCTGGTCTTTTTTTGGAAGTCCTGTCATCTGCCATCGTAGTATTAAAGCTCCCAGATATTGTCTAATGTATATAGCCGAGGATTACAGGATTCCAGTAACATTTAATTTATATAATAAAAACAGACTGGTGGGCTGGATTTGACTTGTGGGCTGTTGTTTGCTAACCCTTGTTCTAAAGAAAGAAGCTAGAGCTGAAAAACAGGTGATTTGCATTATTGAACAGAGAGAGTGGCAAAATGGAAACTAGAAACATGTCTTGTGCCCAGCTTAGTAGTTCCAACCCATTATCTGTGAAAATATTTTGTTTCAACAGTACACCTCTTCTCTAAACCCTCTCCTGATAGATTCTACTCCCCAGTATACACTGTTCCTATCCCTGGCAGGGTGGTGCAAGTGTCTCTGTAATGTACTGAGCCAGTGTAAATGTGTCTGCAGCAGTCCTGTCCACTGCCTCATGCAAAATAGTTCTATACAGCCCCCATAAGGATTGATTGTTGTCCTTTTGAACTCATGATCACTCCCTTTCCCTGCATAGTGGGTGTTGTAAAAATGCTGCCCTGAAATCTGTCCATGTAGACCCCTCTTCCAGCTTCTCTGATGACAATGGCTGTATCAGCACTAACCCAGTGGCACTAGCAGAGTGGCAGAAACATACCACCAGACGTGAAATTTTCCCTGTACCTTAGAAAGTCAATGCAATACATAATTTGTATTAATTAGTGAAAATAATAATCAAAAACAGTTGCTTCAGATCGTGTTATAATATGTTTTAAGGACACAGTGCCATTCAGATGAGTTGTTTTGCTGTTTTCTTTTGGGGGGGGGATTGCTAACCTTTCAGTGTATTCCAAGGACTTCAGTTTATTTCAACATTTTATGGATCAGAGAAGAACTCTGTTTTATATGTGTCAGTATTTCTATAATAGATCAAAATAAAACATATCTTACATTCATACCAGATTTATGTTAGGAGTTTGTTCTAAATTTGGTAAGAGCATCTCTAATGAAAGATGATCAATCTTAAGGACTATTAGTAGACTAAGTAAATATTTTTGAGGCTTTTAAAAATACAATACCTTGGCCCTCCCTGGTGGCGCAGTGGGTTAAAGCATAGCACTGAGAATCTGGAGCTGCTTCCGCATGAGTTCGATTCCCGCCTGCCCCGGAGGTGACCACATGGTGTGGCAGACCTCTCCTGACCCACCCGCTGCTCCCCTCAGCAGTGTA